TTGTGCCCCTTCAGGGTGCTCTCGCCCGGGAACCCCCTGCCGCAGAACTCGCACTCGTAGGGGTGGTCACCTGCAAGCACATGCGCGTGGTGTCAGAGCCGCCGCCGTGCCGTGCCAAAACCGGCTACCCAGCCTGGATCTACCCCCGGCACCCGTCGCCGCCGTCCTGGGGGGACGGAGCATCCCAGCCACCCCAGCACGGCACGCCGGTCCCCGCGCGCAGGGGATGCTTGGGTCCGCAGCAGGGCAAAGAGATGGAGGGTGCTGCGACCCTCCCGTCCCCCACCCCCAATTCCCAGGCTTTTCGCCCGGCATCGCTGGCACAGGCCCGGCCCCGGGCGTCCCCCGCGCTCCAGACCGGGTGGCTGATAAATGAACTCCGGTTCGGCACCAAAGGCGGAATGATTTGAAGGAAAGGTGAGGGCTCCAGCTACTTATTTATTACAGCCGCGAAGGCAAGGACAATAAAGATAGATTGATCGTCCGAGACTTTGTTCATGAATATTTAAATATTACTGATTTGTCTTGTCACTGTAATTACAATTTCTCTGTGCCGCATATCCTACAAGCACAGTTTATGGTAAAGAATGGCCAACTGTATTTCACTTGTCCTGCTGCAGATGTGCGGAGCTGCCAAGCGTGTAATGTTCCCCGCATTTCATACATTTTCTTCAGCTGTGAAGGCTTAAGTCATCCACAATGACCTACGTTTTTTCATTATCCCCGTGTCAAACTGCACTCGTGCCTGGGCATAAATTGTCCTTCTCGTTATATACTCACATGCCTGCGCTTTCGCTTCCTCTTTAAAATGATATTTTACTCTCTCCCCGTGTGCCGCAGCCGAGACCTGCGGCCCCTCGCCCCCTCCCGCAGCTCTGGCTGGGGGCCGGCGGAGGAGGAGGAGGAGGAGGAGGGTGCGCAGGATGCCTTTGGATCCCCATCCCAAGGCGAGGCAGGTGGTGCCTCTTGGCAGCTGCGTTTCACCTCCCCCTGCCCAATCCCAAATTACCACCGTGCTTTTTGATCCGATACTCAAAGGTAGTGATTTTGCGGCCAGAGGCAGACAGCCTTTCCGCGTGCTCAATTTTTGGGACAAGCCGTGTAAACTGGAGCCGGGGCCCCCAGCGTGCTCCGGCCCCGGGAGGAGCGTGGGCATCCCATGTGCGCGCAGGATGAAGCCGCGCAGCACCATCCAACACCCCCAAAGCACCGGCGATCCCGGTGGTTTTTTCACAGCCAGGAGCTGCTAAAGCAGCAGGGGTTGGGGTGGGACACGCACGGCTCGACCCGCAGCCCAGGTCACCGGATTACCGACCATAAATAACTCCAGCGCTGGGCGTTAACGTGCTTACCATCAGCGTGCGATTCCCCTTTCCCTAATAGGGACCCCGCGCCTGGGCACACGTGTGGCTCTGGCGGCCGCTGGCCAGTGCCTGGACAGAGCGACCCTCCCGGGCCGCGGCATGCCCGTCCCCCCACAGCCGCTTCCACGGCCCCGCTGGAGGCAGGCACGCCGCTTCGCAGGGGAGGGAGAAGGGGCACGCACCCTCCTCCCGCCGGCAGTAGCAGCGCCGCCCAGGAGGGCGCACGAGCATCCAGCTCCCCCGGGCAACGGGCGGGCGAGGAGCCGTCAGCCCCGCAGCCAGCCACAGCACGGGCTGTGATGCTCAGCGGGGCTGCAAACCACCGGGCAAACTCCCCTCCTCGTGCCCCACTCATCCCCCAAGGATTTGCTTTTTCCTGCACTTGGGGGTTTTGTGACCAGACCTGAGCACCGGCGCTCACCGTGGCCGGGACCTCTCCCCGTGCCGTCCCCTGGTGCTGCCTGGGGATGCTGGCGGAGGAGCCGAGGACACGGCGCGGGCGCTTTGAGGACACGGCGTCAGGCGGGCAAAGCCCTGCTCCCCTCCCAACCGGCCGTGCCGGAGCCAAGCCCTGCCCCGGTGGGCTGCGCCGCCGAAGCGGCAGCTACACGTAGCGCAGGTCGCCCTAATCCCATTAGGGCCGAGCACCGGCTGATTATGTGCATCTACCGCCCGTAAGCCGATGAAGCGGGTATGATCGCACATCCCCTAAGAAGGTCACATGTCACCTTATACCGGATCAACTTATTACACGCGGCTTGTTTTCTTTTTTCCGTTTCGGTTTTCAAACCCAAACAACCTCAATTGCAGCCGCCTCGACGCTTTTAAGACAACTTCACCTTTCTTTTCGGTGTTTTTTTGAAATGCGCGGGGAAAGACGCCTGCCCCAGCCCTGAGCACGCCGGCGGCGGCGCCACCGTACCTGTGTGGGAGCGGAGGTGCCTCTTGAGCGCGGTGTGGCTGGGGAAGGTGCGGTTGCACTCGCTGCAGATGTAGCTGCGCACCCCGGCGTGCACCTCCATGTGCTGCTGCAGGGCGCCCTGCGTCTGGGACCGCCTGCCGCACAGCTTTTTGCGCCTCCATGTGCTGCTGCAGGGCGCTCTGCGTCTGGAACCGCTTGCCGCACAGCAGGCAGAAAACGGCCATGTCCGTACCTGCGGGAGAGGGAGAGAGCTGACTCAGGCACCCCCCGGCACCCCCATCCCACTGGACCACCACCCCACCAGGCGTTCGGGGGGCTCCCCGCTCCCACCCAGCAGTAGGGATGCTCCGGCAGCGAGGAGGATGCTCCGGCAGCAGGGGGGACCCCCAGGGCTGCAGGGCTCCCGGTGTCACCGGGGTCCCGGCAGTGGGACCCCGACCACCCCGCCCCTGGCTCTGCAGGGGGGGTGTCGGAGGAAGGCACGGGGGATTTATTGCATTGGAGGCAGCTGGAAGCCCCAGCCCAAACGCAAGGCAGGTGAGGTGCAGGTGATCGTGGCATCCCCAGGCACCTGCGAGAGCTGCCAAGCTCCCACCCCTGGGTCCTCAGGGGAAAGGGGACCCCAAGAAACGCTCCGCAGAGCCAGCCCGGCGAGCAGGGGGCTGGGGGTGACGCTGCCTGCAATGCCAAACCCTGACGCAAACACAAGCTGCATCCCACCAACCGCAGGGGTACAACTGGCTCCACCAACATGACAGCAAAAGCAGGAGAAAAAGCCCAACCCCAGATACTTATACACCGTCAATAAAAATATCAGACCTGCGTGTTATTAAACAATTTGTTTTCGTTTATGCATAGCTGATTGTTCAGAACCTATGAGTCAGTGCAAATTGTATTACGCAGGGAGATTAAGCAAATAAATGCGAGCTTTTTGGAGACATTAAAATGTGAGGACTATGGAAATAAAATTATCTAGAAAATTGTATTAGCAATTCATTAGCAGCAGCAAGATGTTCAAGGTAACCAACGGATCGGCACTGCCTTTAGTAACAGCAGGGCTGGGTGGAGGGGGG